TGTACTCTCCAAATATGTATACGAGATGCTATAAACGCATATTGTAAAAGTTAACTATAACCGAATAAAAGGAGCCGACCAAGAGGCCACCTTAACACCAAAAAAAAAAAAAAAAAAAAAATTTAAAATAATTCAAAATAATCCAGACTAGCTGAAATAAATAAAATTATAAGATTTGTATATATTAAAAGTTATTATTATATATATTTATTTATTTGAATTAATTTAAAATTTTTGATATATTCCAAAATATTTCAAAATATTTCAAAATTATTCTAATTATTATGATAAATATAGGTATTATAACGTATGACCAATTATGATGCACACGTGATATCTTGTGATTTAGTAATCAGAATCAGATAATTTTACTACTATTTGATTCATCTTGATGAGATGAATTGAATAGTAGTAAAATCATCTGATTCTGATTACTGAATCACGAGATACAATAATTTAAATAAAATAAACAAATTTTTTATTTATAAAGCTTAATAAGAACCAATTATAACATATTAATAATGAGATTTTTTTATTAAGTAAATCAGTCTTTATTATTAAGACAATTTTTTTCATTATAATGAACTCTACTTAATATTAAATTTTTATAAAAATTAGTTAATTTTTTATTAATTGGCATTTGTAAAAAATGGTTTTGCACCATAATATATTCTTTTAATATAAAGGTATATTTTATAAAAGTTAATTAATAAAAAATTATATGATTTTCATAAAACTTTATTATTAAGTAGAATTCATTATGACAAACAAAATTGTCTTAATAATAAAAATTGATTTACTTAGTAAAAATTTTATCAATAGCTTGTTAAAATTAAATTTTTTAACTTAATAAAAATTAATCTTTAGTTAAATATATCTTGGTATCTATTAAGCAATGCTAGTACAATTCGATTTATCTTATTAAGATAAATCGAATAGTACTAAAATTATCCAGTTTTAATTACTAGATCATGAGTTATTATAAATTATCATGTGTGTGCCATAATTGGTTCTGCATTATAATTTATTAATTTTTTAACTTTTATTTTAATTTGTAATATCTCATAATCTAGTGATCAGAATTGAACAATTTTAGTATTATTTGATTTGCCTTATCAAGATGAATCGAATAGTACCAGAATCATTCAATTCTGATCATTATATCATGTGCTATTAGCCATAAAACTTACTTGCGCCATAAGGGCCATGACAGATATTATGTAATATCAATTTACTATAAGGTACTCCTCTCCTCACATAAAATATATTATATTAATATATGTTATATACAATATTATTAAGAACTAAAAATCGAAATTTATTAATAATTAATCATTATATAATATATATATAAATTATATTTATATTAAAAAATAAATTCTTTACTTTAGACACTAATAGCAAATCTAACTATATGCCTTGCACAAAATAATAAACTATTGCATTTACAGGTTCTACACTAAAATTTTAAAAGACAAATTCCTGTATACTGACAAAGTTTGTTAGCATTAGTTATAATGCTGGCTAACTTTGTCAATATTATGTTCTTTCAGAAAAATAGTTTTTATGATTTTGGAGTAGAATCGCATTCATGTATTTTGTGCAAGATAAACTATTAAACTAAAAAGTTTTGATGAAATTAATAAAAAAAACAAATTTATAAACTTACACTGAATTCGGCAATCTTAATATTACTTTCAAATCATTCATTTAGTTGTTCTGTGTCCAAATATATATCAACAACAAATACAGATACGTATGATTTCAAACTTTAATATATTAATATACGTAGTTATATAATATATATATTTAGAAGCAGGTGATAGTCTATTTAATCACTTTACTAATGCTGACAATTCTCTTTTTGGTTCTTTAATTTCAACAACTCATGTTAACATTTCTAGATAATATGAGTTATGAATAAATTGTCATGCTATTGTAAGCAAGATTTAAGGAGCTTTAAGCAAAGCTAGTGATTTTGGCCAATTAAAATTTTTTGGCTATAGTTAAGCCAATAAATTTTATCAGCTTGGCAGATTTTAAAATTAAACTATTTGATTCAATTTTACTGAAAATTTTTGGCATCAACCTTTTTCCACCTCTAATGCTACAATTCTAATAATAAAATCGATTACTGAATTTAAAAAAAATCAATTGGCTAAACTGATAATTTGCTTTTAGCCGATTTTTTCACTATTGGCCAAGATCATTAAGCAAAGTATGCAATCAAAGTCTACTATCAAATTTGATATAAAAAAATACTTGTCTATATATGAGAAGTTAATAATAGCCTTAAGGCATATGGTATTGCAATACCTTGCATAATTCTTTATACAAGTTCTCTAGGCATAATAACAGATTTTCTTGTTTTAAGGAATAATTTTTCTTTTGTAAACTGTTGGAATCCTGTATAAGATTAATAATAAAAAAATACCCTGACAGTATATCAGCCAAGTAGGCAATAACTATGCATATAATACTGTGAAAAAAGATGTGCAAAAATTAATTAGTTTAAAAAGGTCTATCTAACAAAAAAATAAAATATGTAATAATGCTTATAAAAATATATTTACTAATAAAAATGATAATGTGATAGAAATAGTAAGTCTATTGATGCAAGAATAATAGTGCAAAGAATGAAATGTTGTATTAGAAAAGAATAAAGAATTATGATAGTTATTGTTATGTGTAAACATGAAAAAGGAAATAAAACTTAACTTGTTTAGCATTCAATCCTTATTGATAAGAACAATGCATATACAATTGTATGAGTAAATTGAGTAAACTTTATTTAAGGGTAGAGTATATGTAGATCATTTATTATATGATCTGTATGGCAAATTTTTTTGTGTAACAAATTATATAGTAAACACAAATCTAATTGGGTAATTACCTGTTTTAGAAATATTTTTACTATATTTTTTTGTGTAATCCCGGCAAATTTGAGAAATCACCAGGAACTTTACGACATATGTATGTCCATTTTTTAAAAATAATATAGCCCCCAAAAGTTTTACTACTATAAATAGAAGGTTTGATTTGTATATTACAAAATTTTGGTAAAATTTAACTGTGGTTTTGAGAACTTTTACTAGTGACGTATTTTAATTTATACATAAAATTCTGTTGTACCACTGAGATCATATAATAAATGATCGACATATACTCTACCCTTAATCATTATATAAATACATTTATCTCCAATATGATTTGTATACTTTTTTTTTCATATAAACTTTCAACTAATATTCATAAGCCAACAAACTTTTCTTTTAAGCCCCAAGTTCGATAAAACTTATATATACAAGACCTTTAATACTAAATACCAACACTTTACAAATGCATTTGTATATAAATATATAGTAATAAATGAAAATCCCATTCCAAGTCGAATAATTATCTGTGATACTACTGCAAAGAAATGGAAAAATATTAAGAAAATGAAAGAATCTAAACTTGATGATATTATAAAAAAATACTTAGCAATACTTCTTAAAATGCAAGAATATTTTCAGTTCACTGCTTCATCTCAATAAAAGCCTCCAGAAATTTCTAAAGTGAATTTATCTCAGAATACACCTTCACAGATTCTACCAACATTTGATATAGAAGAAATTCGAAGTAATGCGTCAGCTTAAAAACAGGTAGCTAATTCTAAAGTAACTGTAGAAAAAAAAATTAAAAAACTGAAAACTGTGTATAACTTTACCGACAATTTGTAGCTTCGCTATGATATATATGTTAGAATCACAAACCTTAAATCTGAACTTCAAGAACATGAGAACAAACTACACAAACTAAAACAAAATGCCAAATATCAATCTAAATGCCAATCCAAAAAGATTAAGGTATTAGAAGAAGAACAAGTAGTAATATGATATGATGCATCTAGCAAACCATCAATTTTGCTTCAGAATCTAGAGTTACTTGACCATATTCATATTCAGTAGAGTATGGATCCGCTGATACACATAGACATAAGGAAACTGTTAAAGTAAGGATTATAAATCACCTAAGTAAGAATCTCAAAAAAAAATTATAATATTTATATGGCCAGAATGACCTTAAACAATTACCTTTTACCCTGCCAATCAAATTCAATTGTGGCCAAAGCTCACCATCATCCGGCCTGGGTAGCTGTAGCTGGTGTTTCCCATAATGAAACAAAAGATCATCCTGATGGACACTATTGTCTTGCCTTGGTTAAAGAAGTAAGACAATTTGTATATGCCTTTCCAAATACTTTTGTAATCATCTTTCAAGATGATAAAGCAAAAATAGGTCTAGGAATACCAGTAGTTAGTAGAACATTTCATACTTTACAATCTGCATCTGAACTAGTTCAACTGTCTGACTATGATTTTGCATGTAGAAATAGCCAAAAACTAATTCTGTCTGTTTACCTGATGATTAAACTAAATAAAGAAAATGATGACTTTCGAACAGAACAAGTAGCAATTTTTGTCAAACCCTAGTGGTCAATCAGTATATCATCTATTACCCATGCTAAAGATCTTATTTTTCTTGTATCAGATAATCAGTATTCAGAAGCCCTAAAAATAAATAATGAGATAAAACTGATTTAGGTTTTGTTAGTTGATGGGAGTCTTGACAAGAATCTTAGATATTTTAAAAATATTGAGTTATATTGTAAGTTGCTTAAAAAATTTGATCTAGATTATTTGACTATATAAACCTATGTTCTGAGACAATTAAAATATAATCCAGTCAAAGAAGTATGGCAACACTTTCAGAAAAACTAGCTAGAATCGTCTTGTCGATAGACTATTTTGGAAAGCATCTTGATAGTCAGGGTAATATTAATAATATCAACCTAGTAGCTTAAAATTTTAATTATACTAGAATGATGTTGTGTAATATATGATACCGTGATCCTATTTTTGGAAAGTATGTAAATGCAACTTATATTGACAAAACTACTAATCTATTTGCAAATCTTGAATTTATCTTTGAGGAATAAAAAAAAACTAAACATAATAAAAAACAAACAAATAAAAAAAATAATAAAAAGGATAATATATCTTGTATCTTTGTTCTATGGAATTGAATTGAAAAGCATTGTAATTTATGTCAGTATTCACTTAATATTAAATATTGTACTGATCTAGATTGCTATGGGCCCTATAGTACCAAAAGTTACAAAATTTCTTCAACTTTCCAATAGTTTTTTGCCACCCATTACCAGGACCAAGGATAGTCATTACATAAACCCTGTTTATTTTCTTTAGTATTCTGAACAACTTAAAGTTCTTAGCTATAATAAGCATTGCCTGTCTACTAGTCAATCAACATATTCCTGATTTTGTTGTTCAGTTTGTTATAAATATTTTCCAACTTTAGCCTATATTACAAAGCACAAATGTGAAATGTATTCATCTGTTTGCAGAAGACCAAAAAAAAACCAACCTAAAAATTCCAAATTTGTAGTAGAAGCTGTGGTAATTACTAATGCTGCAACTTTAGAAGACTTTAGTATACTCCACACAATGTCATTCTGGGGGTTTTGGGACAGTTAGACTTTTACTATATCAGGATCATTTTCTGGAGACTTCTAAAGCCTAAAAACTATATCGATATTTTTATATATCAGGAATAAATCCTGGAGGGTTCTAAAGCCTAGAAACTATATTGATTGGATCATATTCTAGAGGCTTCTAAAGCCCAAAAACTATATCGATATTTTTATATATCAGGAAAAAATCCTGGAGGCTTCTAAAGCCTAGAAACTATATTGATTTTTTGGTTAGATATATTAAGTCTAACAATTTTTTAACCCTCTAGAATGTATTGCATGTGCTTTTAAAGCTCAGAAACTATATCGATTTTTAGTTAAATTTATAACCATATCAGGAATATATTCTAGAGACTCGCAAAGGCCAAAAACTATA